ACATAATGATGAGATTTTTACCATCCACACATTCTGCTCTGAAAGGGGAAGAATTACATATTCATACTCCAACACCTTTACTGGAAGTTACTCCATAAACTTTTATGTAACAGGCTCTCTTCCCCACTAAAGTTTACTTGTACGATTCATGCAGTAAAAAGTGTGCTATAAAGGGCTAGCTTCCATTTTTCTAGCCTCCAAACTTAACTCTTTCACAAGATGATGATTCAATAAGAGTGTTACATTTTCTTTAACAAAAAATCCATAACACAAGTTGCAGGTGTAAACAGTTTAAATAGAGTACATATCCCTATGAAACTTTAATTCACCAGACAGGTTAGATACGATTTATACCGTACAGGTTACCTGACTCCCTTCGAGTCCATTCAAATACTGCAGGTAAGATCATTTTTCTCTGATATTGGCTAGACAGATGGCCAGTGGGGATTTCTGATATTCATCTTATTCATGTGGTCTCTTATAAGACATTACCATTGGTATCCTTGTCCTCTCTCCTCAGCTCCTTCATTACTTTTTATACCTACTTGTTGTGTCTTAATTAAACTATAAGCTCTTTGAGACTGGGGCTCTATTTTATTTTTTTTATTGTTTTTATTCCATCTCTGTACAAAGCCAAGGATAATGGGGTCCTAATCATGGTTGGGGCACTACTGTAATACATTAAAATATTTATGTTTAAAATGTTTATTCAGTGCGTATAACATCACATTTGATACTCAAATGAAATTTATGCCATAACCTCAAATCACAGAGGCCTGAACATGAAACTCTGAGGTTGCACTCAAGTGAGGAGAGAGAATAGCTCTGCAGAGTAGGAGTTAGGATCCCCTCAGCTCCATAAATCCTCCACGAACTGTTGAAACACAGCCATCAGCATGGACGCCCTATGCTGCCTCATTGTCTTTGGATTTCTTCCCTGCCCCAAGCAGTTGCACTGCAATAGAAGCGTGCTGCTAGGAAAACCTGGGAACTCCATAACGGGGGAATCTAGAGCACAGAAGTTCACACAACAGCAATACCACTGTGGAAACTCGTTCTCTCTCTGCTGCCAGACCATCCCCCTAATCCATAGATACCGCATTGACACCCCAAATAATAACTGTTTATAAAGTGATTTGCAGATGAAAACTCAATTGATAAATATAAATAAAAGCAAAATGTGTGATTTTCACCTTCACATCATTTTGCGAACATTAACTAACCCATGAAAAACCCTTTAAGGTAAGCTTATAATTCCTCTGTTTTACTGATGGGGACCCAGCATAAAGACTAAGGGTCAGATTTTTACTCTTAGAGCAAGGATCACTTTATTCTAGGACTGTCAAATTATTAAAAAAATTAATCACGATTAATCACAGTTTTAATCACACTGTTGGGGGAGGGATAGATCAGTGGTTTGAGCATTGGCCTGCTAAACCCAGGGTTGTGAGTTCAATCCTTGAGGGGGCCACTTAGGGATCTGGGGCAAAATCAGTACTTGGTCCTGCTAGTGAAGGCAGGGGGCTGGACTCAATGACCTTTCAAGGTCCCTTCCAGTTCTAGGAGATATTATTAAAAAAAAAAAATTAATGGAGATATCCTAAGAGAATACCATTTATTTAACTTATTTTTGGATGTTTTCTACATTCTCAAATATATTGATTTCAATTACAACACAGAATACAAAATGTACAGTGCTCACAGCGTTTAGCATATCTGGCATGTAAATACCATGCAATGCCAGCTACAGAAGTGCCATGCAAACATCTGCTCTCACTTTCAGGTGACTTTGTACATAAGAAGCGGGCAGCATTATCTCTCATAAATGTAAATAAACTTCACAGAATCATAGAATGTCAGGGTTTGAAGGGACCACAGGAGGTATCTAGTCCAACCCCCTGCTCAAAGCAGGACCAATCCCCAGACAGATTTTTGCCTCAGATTCCTAAATGCCCCCCCCGGATTGAACTCTCAACCCTGGGTTTAGCAGGCCAATGCTCAAACCACTGAGCTATCCCTCCCCCCACTTATTTGTCTTAGTGATTAGCTGAACAAGAAGTAAGTAGGATTAAGTGGATTTGTAGGCTCTAAAGTCTTACATTGTTTTGTTTTTGAGTGCAGTTATGTAACAAAAAAATCTACATTTGTAAATTTCACTTTCATGATAAAGGGATTGCACTACAGTACTTGCATAAAGTGAATAAAAAAATACTATTTATTTTATCTTTTTTACAGTGCAAATATTTGTAATAAAAAATAATTAGGGCTGCCGATTAATCAAAAACTCAAAAAACTTAATCATGATTAATCGCAGTTTTAATTGCACTGTTAAACAATAATAGAATAGCAATTGACATTTATCCATCCATGCTGATGAAGCTCATTAAAAAAATGCATTAATTAAATTTGTGACTGAACTCCTTGGGGGAGAATTGAATGTCTCCTGCTCTGTTTTACCCTCATTCTGCCATAAATTCATGTTATAGCAGTCTCGGATGATGACCCAGCACGTTGTTCTTCTTAAGAACACTTTCACTACAGATTTTACAAAACACAAAGAAGGTAGCAATGTGTAAGCTATCTTTAGAAATTGCAGCACTCAACCCAAGGTTTAAGACTCTGAAGTGACTTCCAAAATCTGAGAGGGACAAGGTGTGGAGCTTGCTTTCAGAAGTCTTAAAACAGCAACACTCCAATGCAGAAACTACAGAACCCAAACCACCAAAAAAAGAAAATCAACCTTCTGCTGGTGGCATCTGACTCAGATGATGAAAATGTACATACGTCTGTCTGCACTGCTTTGGATCATAGATTCTAGGACTGGAAGGGACCTCGAGAGGTCATCGAGTCCAGTCCCCTGCCCGCATGGCAGGACCAAATACTGTCTAGACCATCCCTGATAGACATTTATCTAACCTACTCTTAAATATCTCCAGAGATGGAGATTCCACAACCTACCTAAGCAATTTATTCCAGTGTTTAACCACCCTGACAGTTAGGAACTTTTTCCTAACGTCCAACCTAGACCTCCCTTGCTTCTTGTTCTATCCTTAGAGGCTAAGGTGAACAAGTTTTCTCCCTCCTCCTTAGGACATCCTTTTAGATACCTGAAAACTGCTATCATGTCCCCTCTCAGTCTTCTCTTTTCCAAACTAAACAAACCCAATCATTATCAATCAGAACCTGTCATCAGCATGGATACGTCCTCTGGAATGGTGGTCGAAACATGAAAGGACATATGAATGTTTAGCATATTGGGCATGTAAATACCTTGCAATGCCAGCTACAAGAGTGCCATGCGAACGCCTGTTCTCACTTTCAGGTACATTGTAAATAAGAAGCGGGCAGCATTATCTTCTGCAAATGTAAACACACTTGTTTGTCTGAATGATTGGCTGAACAAGAAGTTAGACTCAGTGGACTTGTAGGCTTTAAAGTTTTACATTGTTTTATTTTTGAGTGCAGTTATTTTTTGTACATAATTCTACATTTGTAAGTTCAACTTTCATGATAAAGGAATTGCCCTACAGTACACCTTTACCCTGATATAACGCTGTCCTCGGGAGCCAAAAAAATATTACCACGTTATAGGTGAAACCGCATGATATCGAACTTGCTTTGATCTGCCGGAGTGCACAGCCCTCTTCCACTGCCCCCCCCTCCCGAAGCACTGCTTTACCGCATTATATTCAAATTCGTGTTATATCGGGTCACGTTATTTCGGGGTAGAGGTGTACTTGTATTAGGTGAACTGAAAAATACTATTTCTTTTGCCTTTTTACAGCGCAAATATTTGTAATAAAAAATAAATATGAAGTGAGCACTGTACACTTTGTATTCTGTGTTGTAATGGAAATCAATATTTTTGAAAATGTAGAAAACATCCAAAAATATTTATAATAAATTTAAATTGATATTCTATTATTATTTAATAGCGCAATTAATCACGCAATTAATCACAATTTTTTTTAATCGTGCCATCATGATTAATTTTTTTTAATCGCTTGACAACCCTAACAAATAATATTAAATGAGCATTGTACACTTTGTATTGTGTTGTAACTGAAATCAATATATTTGGAAAATGTAGAAAAACCTCCAAAAATATTTATAATAAATTTAAATTGGTATTCTATTATTATTTAACAGTGTGATTAAAACTGCAATTAATCACCATTAACTTTTAAAATTGAGTTAATTTGTTTTGAGTTAATTGCTTGAGTTAACGGCTATTGACAGACCTACTTTATTCTACGAATAGTTTTATTGCTTTTGCAGAGTAAGATGCTATTCAGTGTGAGTAGGTCTGGCCATGAGAGCTGGAATTAGAACCTGTCTCCTAGTCTCATGCTGAGATCACTAGAGCATGCTCTGAACACAGTAGGATTACTGGTGACATCTGGGGCAGTTGAAAATTATTTTTTCTTACACATTGAAGTCAGCTTTGAAGTGTTTGCTTTGAGAAAAGGGGGAAAAAAAAACAACAACCCCTAAATAAACCACTAATGAATGACAGTGGATTTTGTAAACTAATATAAGATGATGCATCTAATTCCAAACCAGCCATCCCTAGTTACTGGTATGCAGAAAATAAGTAAGTGGGTTCCTTACCCTTCAGGGATTTTTAGGGCAGCAGATGGTAGTGTTACCAAAGGCTATTTTAAATGTTAGAATTGCCCCGTGCTTCTAGAGACTTAATGGCAAACTCTGGAAATGAAGCATGTTGATTGCTATAGGACACAGTTCTGATTTTTCAATAGAACATTTAACCCAGTTTGAGATCTCAGAGATTTTCTGAAATGAGAGAGCCTGAAGATGGAGAATTTATTTTATTATTTACATTTCTTGGTAAGACTCAATTTGTACTAGAAACACTATGTATGATGCATCTGACTTGCCAGGCCTATGGACAGCTCCCTTAATACTTAGCTGAATTACGGCATCATTTTGTATGTACCAATAAGTAGTATGCGCAGAAGGGAAAGTACACCTTTACTTACAGCTAGAAGTTTGTCTCCAATCTGAAGTTTGCCATCTTTATGTGCTGCACCTCCTTCAATAATTTTGGTTACATAGATACTGTTGTCACCAGGAATATGCTGATTTCCAACACCACCAGCTATGCTGAACCCAAGTCCTGCTTGAAAATAAAGTCATTTTTCCAGAGACCTTTTAAATTTTTAATATCAATTTGATGTCAATCACAATATAATTGTGCTCCATGCAACTATGGTGCTATAGAAATAATTATAATTTAACATGACACAGGTTATTGAGCAGGTATATATAGTACAGCTGTTAGAGCAGTAACTAATGTTTTTTAAACACAGTAAAATGATCAGAATTCCTCCCAAAAAAGAGATTTAATTTTTGACGGAGAAGCAACATTTATAGAGAAAGGTAGGTGAATCACTCAACTGAAACCACACGTTTCAACTCAGTAATTGTAATGATTACCCAATTCTACCACTTCAAAGAATAGTTTTGTAATGTTGTATCATCTGTAAGTATGGAAACAAGCAGAATGGTTTCTCCAAGTAGTTTTTTCACCTTTGAAGAAATATCCAGAGATTTCACATGAAAAGTTTATTCCAGTGCTAAGACCGATATATTCCTCTTAAAAATGACTATATTATCAAGGAAGTGATTTAACTGGGCACAAATTGTTTGCATTTAAAAGAAAAATATTATGCATGCTATATGGATGAGGGCAGGTGTTTGCCAGAACTATTAAGAGCTTTACTACTTCACTTAAAATGTATCTGTCTTCATTTGCATTAGTCTGATGCTGCCAATCCTCAAATGCTCCATTAGTAATGTGGACTAATATAATTTTTGTGTACTCACTGAGAAATAATGGCCGGCAACCTACTGGCAACTTTATCCTTTTTTGTATAACAGAAACTTTATACTTGCCACATACCTTTCGGCCCTTTCACAAGTTTTATCTCCATTATTTTTTCTGTGACTGGTTTTCTTCTTTTGACATACAACCGCACAATGGATCCTGCCTCCTTTAATGCTTCAACTGCTTTGCTGTGTGTCACATCACGAACATCCACTTCATTTACTCGTAATATGCAATCGTTAACCCTGAGGACATCAATGCTTTCATTTAGTTGAGGTATTATAGTTAAGGCTACATTAATGTCACGGAAGTCACAGAGAGACCTTTGTGACATTCTCTGCTTCATCACCAGGGGCTGAGGGACTCTAGCAGCCAGCAAGGTCCTGGCAGAGTTCCAGCGACAGCAGCGAGAGGGAGCCCCCTGCAAGGTTACAGCAACGGGCGACAGCCTCGTGTATGTGTGTGGGGCGGAGGGGACGCCTCGAGTGAGTGGCTGGAAATGTCCCGTTTTCTCTTTGGGAAATATGGTCAACCTGCAGCTTCCAGCTGCTGCGGGTGCAGGGGGAATCCCACAGCTCCCAGCGACCATGGTGGTGGGGGAAACCATGGAGCCACAGCAGCAAAAGTCACAGACAGGTCACGACTTCTGTGAATTTTTATTGCCCGTGACCTGTCTGTGACTTTTAATAAAAATAACCATGACAAAATCTTAACTTTAATTATAGTGTACTGAACATATTAGGTGTCCAATAGCATTTTAACCAGATATGACTGTCAATCAATACAATACATTATACATTTTTTTTGGAAAATATATGGATTAAATATTATTCTTTAAAATAAAAACAACATTACTGAAAATGCAACATAAATAAGTCCAATTAAGAAGGAAATAACAAATGATTTTAAAAGAATATTTTGTTTACAACTAAAGATCAAAAGGTTTTCTGATAAGAGAAGGTTACTTACCTGTAACTGGAGGTTCTTCGAGATGTGTGATCTTGATCTGTATTCCACACACAGGTGCGCATGCGTGCCATGCGCCTGAGTCTGGAAGTGTTTCCTACCAGTGTCCATTGACCCGCACATGCCTGTGCATCCCCTCATGCTCCCAGCCAAAAGTATAATAGGTAGTGTGAGTCGACACCTCTCCAGTCTCCCTCTTGCTACCTTAGAGTGTAGTCCGAAACAGAGGGGATGTTAGGCAGGTAGTGGAATATAGATAGGGACCACACATCTCAAAGAATCTCCAGTTACAGGTAAGTAACCTCTTCCTCTCCTTTGAGTGATGGTCCCTATGTGTATTCCACACGTGATTCATGAGCAGTGATCAGTGTGGAGTTGGCTGCAAGGATGCTAATGGAAGTGCGGTCCTCAGTACAGCTTAGCCGACTGCTGTGTCTGTAGCTGCCGCTTACTTGTGTGACGGCATACTGGTTGTGAAGGTGTGGATGGAGCACCAGGTGGCTGCATGAGAAATGTCTTGCCAGGGCACATCCACTAGCGAGGCTGATGTGGCAGCTTGCGCTCGCATAGAGTGAGCCATAATTCTATCAGGTGTGGGTACATCAAACTAGTTGTAGCATTCCAGGATGCACCCCGAGACCCATTTGGAGATTGGTTGAGAGGAGAGGGCTTGACATGTGGACCGTTTGGCAATGGCCACAAAGAGCTTCAGCGACGTGCAAAAGGGTTGAGTACTTTGAAGGTAGAAAGCCAGTGCATGACGGACATCCAGGGAGTGCAGGACCCTGTCAGCGGGGGAGATGTGCAGTTTGGGGCAGAAAACAGGTAGGTGAATGCACTGGTTCAGGTGGAATTCCCAACATGACCTTTGGGAGGAATTTAGGATGGAGCTGAAGGGACATCTTTCTTCTTGTGAAATATAGGGGGGGGGGGGATCTGCCATCATGGCTATCAACTCACTGACCCATCTGGCTGAAGTTATGGCTACCAGGAATGCCATTTTCATTAAGAGGTGGGAGAGGGAGCATGTTGCCAATGGTTCAAAGGGTGGTTTCATGAGGACGGAGAGGAAAGGATTAAGGTCCCACACAGGTGTGCGCTTTAGTGCTGGTGGAAAGGTGTTGAGTAAATCCTTTATGAAGTGAGTGGTTGTGAGATGCATAAACACTGAGGTGCTGTCCACAGAAGGAAGAAAGGTGCTGACTGCTGCAAGTTGCACCCATATATAGGTGATGGCTGGACATTTTGAGGGCGAGAAGGTAGTCCAGGACAACTGGTATAGATACAGCATTCAATGAGTGATGGTGGGCCCATAGCATGAAGCATCTCCATTTTGCCTGATAGCATGTTCTGGTGGATTCTCTCCTGCTCTGAGTAAGGATTCACCATAGCAGGATGGAGCATGCATGGTCCACCGTCAATCCCCAGACAAATACCAGGCTGTGAAGTGAAGTGGCTCGGCTTGGGATGCAAGAGTCTCCCCCAATCTTGTGTGAGTAGATCTGGGAGTGTGTGAAGGTGGATCGGTGTATGAGTGGAGAGTTGGAGAAGGTCCATGAACCAGAACTGACAGGGCCAGAATGGGGCTATGAAGATCACGGTGGCTCTGTCCCGGCGAACTTTGCGGATTACTTGCAGGAAATGCGGAATGGGAGGGAAAACGTAGTGGAGGTCTCCTGTCCAGGACAGGAGGACAGCGTCACCCTGCATGTCCTCCCCTACTGCTCCTCTGGAACAAGAGAGGGGCAACTTCCTGTTCTCATGCGTGGCAAAGAGGTGCCTTAGTTCTCGAAGAGGCACTGTATCATGGCATTGTGTAGCTCCCACTCGTGATAGATGTAGAGTTGGCTGAGCGCGTTGAAAAGGGAGTTCTTGATGCGTGGGATGTACATGGCTTGAAGTGTTACATGTTTTTGGTGCACCAGTTCCAGGGGCAGATGAACTTGGAACAGAGGGAGGGATGCTTGGTGCCACGCGCTTGTAGATGTACATGACTTCTGCGATGTTGTTGAAGAGGAGTTGAACATAGATCAAATAAGTGAAAGAAAGGGCCAGCATGGTCAAGGGATCACCTGGAGCTCTAGCACATTTATGGGCATCCTGGCCTCCCATGGCATCCACACACTCTGGGCTGTGTGGTGGTCTAGGTGGGCTCCCCAACCCGTGAGGAGGTGTCAGTTGTGATGGTGACCTGGGGTGTGGGTAGAAGACTTTGGAAGGATTGGTCCACCATGTGAGGGAGGCTCTGGGTAATGAGGTCTCTGGTCTGCATATGGTCCATGCTGGGTTTATAGGAGGAAAAGAGCCATGCTTGGAGGCAATGCATGTGGAGACATGCATGTGGTATGACATATGGCTGAGGAGAGAGAGGCAGCAGTGGACCGTGGTACCGGGCCTGCAAGGCAGATCTGTAATGACAGACATCAATGTTGCGAAGTGGTCCGCTGGGAGGAAAGCTCTTGCTGTGATGGAGTCAAGCCATGCCCCAATAAATGATATCATCTACATAGGTGTAAACACCAATTTGTCCTCCTTGATGCAGATACTGAGATGCCAACAGCATGCAAAGGATGAGGACTGTGGAGGTTACTTCCTGGTGCGAAAACCCCATGAGGAGCCAGTCGTCAGATAGACGTATACAGAGTATCTGCATTTGGGCCACGGCCACAGCAAACACCTTTGTGAACACTCGTGGAGCCATTGCTATACCAAACAGGAAGATCCAAACCTGGTAATGGTGGTGTCCCTCTCAAAAATGGAGAAACTTGTCGTTGGACGGGTGGATATCTACATGGAAGTAAGACTCCTTCATGGAGAGAGCTGTGAACCAGGCTCCCGGGGGAGGGATGGGATAATTGATGCCAGTGTTACCACCCAAAGGTCTAGAATGCGACACTGCCATCTGCCCTTCTTCGGAATGAGGAAGTACAATGAGTAAAAACCCCGTCTATTGTAGTGACATGGGACAGGCTCTATGGTCCCCTTGAGGAGCAGAGTGCCCACTTCTTGTTGGAGGATGCATTCGTGGGAAGGGTCCCCAGCGGAAGTCCGGGGTGGGGGAAATGAGGTGGAAATGAGAGGAATTCTACTGAGTATCTTTGATGGATGATCTCCAGTACCCAACTTCCATGTGGCAGTAAGAGGGAACTGGAGATGCATCAACCCTCGCTACCTATTATACTCTCAGCTGGGAACATGACGGGATACACATGCACGTGGGGGGTCAATGGACTCTGCTAAGAAACACTTCCAGACTCAGATGCATGGTGCACATGCACATCCATGTGTGGAATATACATATGCACCATCTCCGGAAGAAGCAGTTTCAGTTTCTATATATTTTAATCAGAATGTTGCACAAACTATTTTTTACATGCAAAAAAATGTGGTCAGCACTGAAAGGAAAGAGTAGCTAACTACTGCACTGTTCAGCAAACTAGGAAGCAGAAGAGGAAAACAAGCTAGAGTTTTCACCCACACGTTAACAAAGAACTTCCTCTGTTCTGCTGTGAAACGTTGCCTTCCTGCTTTGGTAGGTTAATTATGTCACTGGTGGCTTTGCTGTCCATTTAATGTGCTGCTGGTGCTGTACTGACTTTCTACTAAAATAAACAATGTCTAGACATACCTGATATGCCTGGTCTGACTGCCAGCAAGTTCTGGGAGATATAAGCTGTGCATCAGAGAGCAGTCAACAGGCTAACATGGGGCCCTGAATGACGTGTACTAAGATTCTAAAGCAGCAACCTGCTGCTGTCCTGGGGTGCCCCCTGCCCCCATCCCAGATCCCTTTAGTGGCACAGACCAGCTGCATCTGCCTTGCCCCTCAGCTGCAGAGAGGCAATACACTCCAGCTACTTCAGGGGAGATTTCTGCAAGCCTACCTTCACAGCATTATTCAAACATGTTTCTATATGCACGTATACGTACACCTACATGCCTGTGTCCACATGCCACTCACCCATAACTCTAACCACATCCCTCTTTCTGCATCACAGCATCCATGCTCTTCATCTTTCCTTCTCTCCACCGGCTCCATTTCCCCATCCTTACCCCTCTATAGCTCCCACCATACTTCTTCCCCTCCACATCCCAATCTCCACCTTCCTCCCAACAGCACAAATCCAGAACCCACATCCACACCCTCCTCTGCCTATTCCTCACCTCTGATGACATCTACCCCAACCATGGCCTTCTCTCTCACACCAATCCCACCACCACCTCCGCCCCTTCGGTGCCACCACTCTTAACCTCATGGCCATCCCTCTCCTTCCCTTCT